CTCTTCATAGGGGATGCATTATGCCAATTCATCGATATGGCGAGTGTTCAGTGTATATATGCTGAGCGAGAGGATAACCAATTCTGGTCATTGCAGGAACACATAAAGAAGCACCTCTAGTGAAAATCAGTAAAGGTGTTCTTTGGGACAAATATAAACACTGCCTATTCACAAAAAAACTAAAAACTGGTAAAAAAATAAAACTGTAGAGACAGGCTCTTAACACCAAAACATTAACCTGAAGTGGTTCTGATGCTTAGTGACCCTTTAATCTTAGATTAATAGAAAGACAAATGGTGCTCAGTTTGGTAACCATTAATATAAATTGTTACTGAAAGTTTAAAGAGACACTATAGTCACCAGAAACACTACAGCTTAAAGGGGCAGAACCAGCGCCGACAGACCCGTGCAGCGCTGGAAATATGGTGAGTTTTATACTTTTATAAGGGGGCAAGCCACCTAAATGGTGGGTTTGTGTTCCTGACCCTATAGTGATCCTTTAATGTGTTGTTTCTAGAAAAGTTGCAGAGCCATTTTTTTTCCAAGGTGTTACATGTTTGTGTTAGTGTCAGTTATTAAACCAGTAAGAGTTTGGTTAAATGGAAAAAACCCACACAATAAAAAAAAAACACTACAGGTAATAATAATTTTAATTTCTAAGTTGATTAAGAAAACGTGAAACTCTTGGACATTTCTTTAGAACTGGCAAAAAAAGAAGGTTATATGATTTAGAAGCAGTGGTCAAATAATTACATAAGTAAAATGTCAAGCCACAACACGAGGGATGGGAAAACCAAACAAGGAAAAAAGAGAAAAAAAGCACACAACGCTTAAAAAAAATGCATGCAGTTGTAGGGACAAAGCACAAGAGATGTTATCAGAGGCACAACCGTCTGAAAAATGAGAAATAAGAATATCTGAACGACTCAAAGTGAATACGTTTATCTATATAATTAATAAATAAAAAAGAAATACACAAAAAGACTTCTGGAGAATAAAATATATTATAGAATAATTATAAGTAAAGCGGCGAGGGGCAGGGGAGATTAATAAACTATAATAATGAATGGAAAAAAAAAACAACAGACCAGGTTGTGCCTCAAGATAAACTAGAGAACAACAGTCAAGGTGTGCATGCCGAAACAGTTCTTACCAGCTTCAGAGAAAGCTTCATGGTATAATTGTAGGATCAGGGAAATGAAAAGAAAGCAGAGAGAAAGAAAAAGAAGAAAATAAAAAAAGTAAAGAAAAAAAGAGCAGATCAGCAAAAGGTGAATGCTTTGTTTCCAGTGTTAGGAGCTATGAGCATTTCAACAGAATATACTAACTGGGTGAGAAAAATGTAACATAAAGCAGAACCTGTGCAAAAGTTCACAAGGTCAGGAGTCCGCAATGCCAAAATAATCAGAAAAAAAATGCTTTTTGGCTGGTCTGTGAAGTGGATGTTGATTTGGTATATTATGCTTAACAGAGATCTGTCTGTTGTACTAAGATAGTAGGGACAGCAATAGACCGTGTTATTAGAGTATGTTGTTTTAGCTGGACACATTGTTCGTTTTAACATACCCCTTTCAGAAAGATTCACTATACATAAAGTAAACAAGGGTTTTTGTTCAGGAGAACGGAATTTTCAGAATTACACATTCATACAAGTTAGTAGCACTCATGACGCCCATCATGCTAGGATATTTCAATGTTATCGGGTCAGATATAGTGATTAGTACACTAAAATGTACTAAACAGTGAATTGTGAAGAACACTATTTATCCAGTTCAGCTATTCTGGCCTAACAATATTTAGTGAAAAAACCCAAAGGACTTTGTTACCTCTTTTGTGACGTGCTCAAAATTATACAGCCATTTGAAACCCTATCACTGAAACAGATTGCTTACTAACACCAAGGACACTAGATATATCTGAAGTCTAATGTGAACAACTAAAATACTTTGAAGCATTATTTAGCAAATCAAGTCACAAACCTGATGCAAAACCCATAACAAGTTGAGTATCATGCAGTCATATTTCCTAGTAAGACGACCCAGGCAAATGACGGCTAACCTTGTCACAGAAGTGTTCCTGACTTGCACTAATCAAGATGCTCAGCACGCCTAAAAGCTGGCTATGATTGTTGGACATGCATTTCAGAAACATCTGTGTGGAACAGTGAGCCATTACTGCCTTAGGGAAACATGAATTGTTAAAGAACACCAAGGCAGACAGGTGGCCAGGTTTGCATGTTAGTTTTGTTTATCTCTCACACGCCTATATTCTAGCTACTTTTTCTAAAGTAGAATTTCTAGCTCCAGGTGTAAATCCAGCATGATATACTTTATAATTATAAAACTTGCAATCTATCAACGCTAGGACAAGGCTGTCTACAAATCTCAAGTGCATGGGATCCTTAATGTACAAATATAAGGGTTTGACATCAATAATAAGGTTTTGGCCTACTCCTCAAGCTCATCATTCTTTACGCCATACAGCTAATTTCTGAACATATCAGCTTCACAATACGTGTGTAAAAATCTATTCAGTGTTGAGACAGGTGATTAGAAAGGTATAATCAGGGTAGAATGAAAAGAACAATTATTAATTATTCATTTGGAAAGATCGTTTTGTAATCCCTTGCCTTAGCAAATTTGTCCCTGGCTCTTTTTAAACTAAACAGCAGTGCAAAGAAAAATAAAGAAAGAAAAGGGGAAGGGGGGGTTAAAAACTCATATCACAAAATAATCCATAATTTCATCAGTAATTATGCTAGCCAATGAAAGAAGACAGCAAGGTAACTTCACATGAATTTGCAGAGATATTTGGCGTTTGAGATCTACCAAGAGATGCTATTTGTAATCCTAGAATCTATTTATATTAGTCTTTAACAAGTTTTCAATTTTAAATTTAAGGCCAGAGTAGCTGGAAAGCATAGCGGAGGATATTTTTTCCAGTTTGGCTATTTTGACTTTTTTTAAATTCACTTTGAATTCTCACTTTAGTGAATAACCCTGATAATCATTTTTGAGCTTAAAGGATAACTCCAAGCTCCAGGACCGCTTCAGTGATTTGAAGTGGTCATGGTGCCATGGTCTGTATATGCAGCGTTTTGCTATAAAAAAAAAAACTTTGCACATACCAAAATTAACCCATCTAGTGCTGGAAGTGTAACTTCAACTCCAACAGCATCAATGGCTGCACCACCTTCCCGGCCCCCACTGTAATTCCTCCCATCCCTTCCCCTCTGGGCTACAGGAAGATCTTGGCCTCTTGCTGGAAGGTATGTTTTATCTATTTTGGTTATTCTTATAGGAAAGGGTTAATCTGACCAAAAGGAGTGTTTTCTTAAACTGTTTTTTTTGTAGTAATAACAGAATACAATGAAGTCTGAGATGGTTTTAAAAACTTGTATTTTGTGAAATAGGGTGCTGAATCATAAAAAAAAAGAAGTATTTTGTATTACTATTATTAACCAGTAATGCAAACAGATGAAAGGGATATAATGAATGTGTCAGGAAAGACAAGATGGTTAATTAAGCCACTTTTTGCATCACATGAGTTATAGCTGAGCATGATATGCTTCCTGGTTAAACCAATGATAAGGGAGTTAATTCAAATCATTCTGTTACTGGCCATGTCTGTTGTGCAATGCTGGGTAAATAGGCTGCTATCATTTTAGCAGACACTGGGGTAAATCAGCCGTGCATCCCGATATGGCTACAGGCCCTGCTTGACCTTCCCGTGCTACCGCCATTGTGTGTCTGGAATAGTGCTCTGCTATAAAAAGCAGGGCGAGTGACAGATGGCAACCAGCTACTGCAGTGAGAGCCAGAGAAGAATACAAAATACGCATACACAGCTCTAATCACTAGAGCACATGCTACTGCTATAAACTGGAGGGTAATGCTTCCAGCACCCAGCTTATGACCTTTATTTCAGAGCAAGACACATTTTGTCAGAGTCACTACAGATGTTTAAACTGCAATTGAATAAATACTTACAAAAACATAACATACAGGGATATAATTTCTAATTAATGGGGTAATAGCTGCTTGATCCAAGGATACATCTGACTGCTATTTTGGGGTCAAGAAGGAATTTTTTCCTAGTTTGTGACAAAATTGGAAGCGCTTCAGATTAGGTTTTTTGCCTTCTTTTGGATCAACAGCAACAACATATGTGAGGAAGGCTGAACTTGATGGACGCAAGTCTCTTTTCAGCTATGTAACTATGTAACATCAACTCGCTGCATTAAAACATCTGAGACAGGAACTAGTTTAACCAGACAGGCTATGTTGAAGACTATGATGGCTTTTTTTATTGTTAAAACAGAAATGACAGAAAATAACTGATCAAGCCCATGTTTTTAATTATAAATGGCACAGTTATAATTATTGATTTTATGTCATGCTCAGGACAGCTGTGCATCTACTACATCAAACCTTTGCTGGAGAGAATTAATATTTTCCATAGCTTCTTGTTCTGGCTATTCTTTTCCTGTCGAAAATGCAGCCCCTTTTGTTAAAATGTACTGGTCACGCTACTTATACAGCATAGACTTTAATGTATCCATTGTTTTTACATAACTGCTGACAACTGGATACATACTATACATACATGGAGTGCAGAATTATTAGGCAAGTTGTATTTTTGAGGATTAATTTTATTATTGAACAACAACCATGTTCTCAATGAACCCAAAAAACTCATTAATATCAAAGCTGAATATTTTGGGAAGTAGTTTTTAGTTTGTTTTT